CTCCATTGATTCTCTGTTGCAGCGATCGAGTGCGTCTCTTGCAAAAAAACCAGGTCTGCCTTACGTTTACGACACCAGAGAAAGATGGTTCTTCTTTTGCGGAAATTACTTATGCCCTTCACATTAAGCGATATTAGTTTAAAAGCATTGAACAACTAACTTTTGTGTTACTGTATGCAAATTGTGGGACTGCATAGCTGAAAAGCAAAAGAGCCGAAGGTGTGATTGAACAAACGAAAGGCGTGAATGTAGACATACTTTGAAAGCAAGTAAAGGATACTGATTGTGCATAGATAAGATTAATAAATAAACCCAGTAAGAGAAAAATTAGAATAGAAAAACACTCGAAAAATCTAAGTACAACAAGAAGAAGAAGAAATAAAATAAATAAAATAAAAATAATACAGGGACACACGTTAACCAAAACACTAGCCAGCTTAAGCTCACCTTTGAAGCAGATAACTCCAACGCTCGTAAAATTACCACACTTTGCATCCGGTTATAGTTATAAGTTGGTAATGTGGAAAGTACGCAACCTTACAAATCGTTTAAATCACTTAGAAAATTAATCCTGATCGGAGACCCCGACGGCGAGGTCTTGACATAAACTTTTCCGTCCAAGGTCCACACACTGACAAGAGTTCCATCGTGTTTGCGTTTGTTAGCTTCTTCAACCAGCTCTCTTCTATATGGCGTTAGGTTCTCGTTTAAGTATATTCTACGGTTACCAGAAGAAGGGTATCCTGGAAACAGATCATGCAACCTCACATCCTTTAGTTTTGTTCGCTCTTTGTACAGCCTCGCCTTTGCTTTGTGATTTACGAATTTAGCGATGATTGCTTTGCCCTTGTTAATTTTATGTGATATTTCTATATCCTCGGGTTCTACTGTAATGTTGAGGGCTTCGGCTAGCTTAATAACAACTTGTTCCGTGTTTGTGTAGGCATCTTGTGGTATTCCATGGATTTCCACGGAATTTTTCCGCGAGTATTGCTCTAAGTTGTCAAGCTCTTCCGATAGGCGCTCGGTTTCCTCGCGCTGATTCTCTAGGTCTTGATTCATTGTTTTCAGTCGGTTGTTCATCGATGAAATAGTATTCTTCAGTTCTTTATTCGCATCCGTGGCCTTCTTAAGAGATCCCTTTAAGTTTTCGATTTCTTTTCCATTGAAATTTGCTGATTCTGTTAGGCTGTTAAGATCCTTTCTGTTGGAGTTCACAGAGCATTTCAGTTCTTCAAACTCGTTTCGCAACTCTATGTTTTCCTTTAGAATAGTGGATAGCTGTATCTGAATATCCATAAGAATGTTCTTTATCTCAAGAAGACTTGGTTCCTCTTGGCTTTCTTCTGATAACATTTGAATAGCTTCTTCGATACCTGTGTCCATGCCGCTTGCCGCCATGTTGGCTTTTTTCCCAGCTCGAGTGTCTTGGAAAACGAATTTTTGGAAAACAAATCAGGCCGAATTTTTTGAGTTCGACAAGTTTACTTAACAAAATCTTGCCAACAACTCTGGGAGCGTGTAAACCAACATTTCATACTTTTTATACATCACATCTGAAACAGTAATATGAGGTGTTGTTTTTATCATATAGACCTCAGACAAAATGCAGTATTTCACAATTTTTCAAGACAAATTGCACTCATTCAATATTCAAAACCGTAAGAAGCACGCTGGGCTTTTAGCAAAACTGTTCAAAAAATTTCCAAAATCACCTATACGGCCAGCCGGCTCTCACTTTTGACAAGCGCCAAATTTTCGGTGAACATTAAAAGAGTTACGCTTCAACATAATAAAGAATTTATTGTGTTTATTTTTTTTATTAAATGGTTTTATAACGATGTGTAATCTTAAAAAGCGTTTGATACGAGCAGCATTTTGAGTACTCCTGCAAGCGTTGTTTATGAACGACTGAAAACAAACGGCAAAGCGATGAAAATTGTAAGAGACTACTAACAATCAATAAAAGAAATATAATTCGGTGAAACATTTACAGAGACAACAATTTTCATTCACGAAGACAAGTATTAAAGCGTCTCTAAAAATCCTGAGTCTTTCTTTAGGCTTAAGCTTAAAGCTTTTAGCCGGCTTCCTGGTGTTTACTGTTTTCAAAGATGAACTCGAGGCAAGAAAATCGCTCAAAGCTTTCTTTCTACAGCCAAAACTATAACTAAATACTCTTCGGAACGTTTTTTCGTTCTATATGCGGAGAGAAAATATCGACTAAAGGCTTTTTAAAGTTCTGTAAGCTTATATATACTAGATCAGATCATTGTCTCAGATCTTAATACAAACGTGCATAAATTAGCCTCATAAACTGCGCTCGACTTCATGAAATTAGATATTAAAAAACAAACATACACTGTATACAATAATTACTTAGGCTTACCATTCGAGATGCAGCTCTTGAAAGCTATAAAGTAAGGCCAGAATCGCTTGAGGGACTTTTCAACCCGCATCCAGCAAGGTAAAAACGAAAGCGATGCATCCGAAATCGGATTTCCAACTTTGGCAACCGGCGCATTTCCCGACCAAAAATTCAATAAACAAACCAGCCATGAATCAAAGAAGACTGTTGATAGCAGCTGTATTTCACTTTAAGCATCCAGTGGAAAAAGACAGTAAAAAACATCAAGTTGACACAATACTCGGTCAGCTTCAGCTGTCAAACTGAAAGTAAACAAGGTTCAAGATGCTGTATAAAATCAGTTTCTGCATGAACTCACCTGTCAAATTTTGACCAATCAGAGCATAAAAATTGGACGGTCGTAGAGCGTGATCAACGCGTGACTATGGTGAGAAAAGTGAAAAGCCTCTGTCTTCCTAGTCTGCTACACAGCCGTTTTTAGTGTCGTCACGCAACGCTCCTCCCCTCCCTGCTTGTCTGAATTTTCGAGTCCGAGATCAGTTTGAAATCAAAATGTTAATAGCGCGGGGCCATAGTGACATTAACACAACACTTTCTGTCATCATGTCATTATTTTGCTGCCGTTCTCTTTGCCTTTGTATTTCTCTTTCGCGTTGCCTTTGTCTGTTCATTCTAGCTCTGTCTCGTTCTGCTTGCCGGCGTTTTTCACTATAATTTTCTCTCCTTCTTCTCGCTCTGACTCTTTCTACTTGCTTTCTTTTTTTCAAAACCAGTTGCGCGATATAATTGCGCGACGTTGCGCCATGCGATTTCCCGCCGAAAAATCTCTACTTTCCCCTACCCCAAGAGTCCATGCGGACTACTTTCCACTACCCGGAAAGTCCGTACGGACGGACGTACGCTACGTCATAACCAAATTTTCTGGGATGGATAGTTTACCAAATTTCTTACCCATGGTGCTCCGCTGCGCGCGCGCTTCGCGCGCGCGGCAGCTCCGCTATAAACCTTATGTTAATTAGGCCTCCTCAATTACAATTTTTCAAAGATGGCATAAAAAGTACGGCGACGGATACAGAATATTATTAGATGGAAAATTAAAATAACAATCAATATTAAGGAAGTTTACAAATGTTGAATTAATTAATCAGTTTTTTTTCCAAGATTTTTGTTGGATTAAACGAATAGTTATTACAAATGCAAATAAATGCCTTAAGTGCTCTTTTAAAGGAAAAAGGGAAGGAAGCGTTGATGATGTTGGTGTTTGATTCGAGTTTGACAGAAAGGTAGACGAAATTTACAAGAGTTTTTTGTATTATACGAATGAATTTGACTTTTTAAGGTAAATGTACAATGAAATTTTAAAGGTAGAGTATGGTTTTCATAGGAGTACATGAATAAGTTTAGTTGTATTTAAGTATATATCATGATTTTGAAAGACTGGATCAGTATGTGCATCGAAAGGAGTTTTAGCTGTAGTTCAGATCACTCGTTTCTGTAAAATCCCAAGACGAATAAGTTTAGTTCTGTAAGTAGAGGCCCAAACTTAGTTGCAGTAAAAAAAGTATGGATAGGCTAGAGAAAAATACAATGTTCGTACATAAATAGAAACTGGGTTATTTACGAATAATTCCTATGGATTTAGAAACTTTATTGGCGAGATTATTGAGATTTCAGATTTCCAATTTAAATTTTCATCTATGATTACTCCGAAGAAAAATGTTTCTTTTACCTAGTAATCAATTTTTTGGCTATTAATTAAAAGTTGAATAGTTTGATTTATACGTTTTTGGCGTGGTTTAAATACAATAATTTTTTTTTTCAAGTTAAATGAAAGCCTGTTAGCTCTAAACCAAATTAACAACTTATTTAGCTCAGCGTTCAGTGTATTAGTCAAGCAGTCTTTATCCTTGTGATTTCTGCTCTACATCAACGATGTAGAGCAGAAAAAAGAAAGGCCCTAGTATTGAACCTTGGGGAACCACACACATAATATTAGCACGAGACGAAACATAACTATTGTATTCTACAAAATGAAGTCTGTTGGAAAAAATAGCTCCTAATCCATTTCAGAGCCAAGCCACGTATACCATAGTGTTCAAGTTTATCAAATGAGGTGGAATGATTGACTGGATTGCAATTGCGAATTGCAGAGTCCAACGCTTTAGCCACTCAGCCATGCACGCCGCCTCCTCCCAAAATCGAGCTGAAACCTATAGAAACACAAAGATAAACACCTGGTAACATTTGAGCCATTTGTTCAGTTGGGAATTTCCTCCCAAGTTTGAGCATTTACTACGTCGGCATTAACAAAGCTATCGAGAAAAAGTTACCACAGCTGTATTATTTAAAGTTGTTAATTTGTTATAATTTATGTTTTATTCACATCGGAGTCATATCATGGCAACGTAATGACGCCTTTACGATTTTTTTTCTTGCTTTTGTATTTCTCGGTACCAGAATTGTTTTTCAGAAATCTCTTAAGGGACCTTATATACCTCTTCGCTGCCTCGATTAGGGCAATTGTGAACAATTTCTATGAGAGCGTTTTGGAAATATTTTGGAACGAAGTTTAAAGGGTCACAGAAACAGTGAGTAACCATACTATCAACATAATGGGTAACATCTAAAGAAA